AAGTCAATGTAATAAGCGCTAGGGTTTGCTCGAAACATTTTAGTGAAAGTACCTATAAGGTCAATTTGAAACATACCCTTTCGGTTTACACCCCTAAAAGATATCGTGCTGTATGGAAAATTTACCCAAGTCTCTATCATCACCTGGACCATCTACATCTGTTTAAGTTTGAGCTATAGCCTGTGAGATAGGAATAACAAGGTTGAAATATTTTATTTACACCCGCCATTTTGGTTTGTATAAAATGTTAATGTCGATTGTGTCACTTGCACCGCAAAGACGAATCCAACGACACCTCCTATGTGAAAATATATCAAGCCGTTTGAGCTGTAGGTGAAAATATGCACGTTATCCATATCAGTCTAAATGAGAGTCACTCTCTGCGTGACGTCATGCGCGCCGGCGGATGAAAATCGAACAGCGGAGCATCCGGCACTGCCACCTTATATTTAAATCTCCCCGTTTCACTGCCGGACCCTGTATAATTCTCTACCTGATAGACTGCAGTAATACCTGTAGCTGTATGATCGGTGTCCCACTCTCCACCTCGGGCTCGACTATCCATAAACACTCTCTGGCAGGTGGTCCTCCCCAAGGCGCCCTGTACGCCCTCTTCGAACTGATGCCCTGACCTCTCGTCCCTTTCAGCACCCCTCTCGCCTCGCACTGGTAGTAGCATTGGCGGCCGTTCCTCGGATCACCCCAATAGTTAGGGAGGCAGCGTTCACAATGTTCGCCGTCGGTATTATCGAGGCAGAAACAGATACCGGTTTCAAGGTCACAGACGCCCTGTGATATGTCGCCATGACCATTGCAATCACACTGCAGACAACCTAATAGGTAAAATTTTGGATTAAGTAACTAGCTACTGCACTAGTACAAATAGTCTTTTCCAAAGGTATTGATACGATTAACCATTCCTTACTAGATAGATAGATAGATTTTATAGGTTTCGTGGAAGTGCGCTCACAATGATGTCCAATTATTTGTTAAACCGTACTTGAACAGACAATTTCATCTGGTAAACGATTTTAGCTTCTGAACGGCCTATAAGCTCTGGTGTATCGCAAGGGTCAATATATGGGCTACTCCTTTTCTCTTTTATGTTTCCGATCTAGATAAATCTATTGAACACTGCAACATACATTTTTGGCCGATAATCCCCCGCTTTATTAATAATAATAATATTTATTACCCTCATTAAACCGTATATACAAAGTTTACAAACAAAAAAGCCTTAAGAGAATAAAGGGCTACATCAGCTTGCCCCTTAAAGAAGCAGCTGCTAGAGCAAAAAAACAAACAAATTTAAACAATTCTATAGTAATACAAATCGCTATTAAGACATTGATAATTAATAATGTTTTAATATTAAGAAATATAGCGAAGTATAGTAAGGAGAGAAATGGAAATTTAGAGTGAGAAGAGAAAGCGAGGGGAAAGAGTAGAAGAGAAAAGGGGGAGCAGGAGATGTGTTTTCTATGATATCGGAGACAGTAAATCCCTTCTAAGGTTAAATGTAGCTACCCAGAGAGAAAAATCTTTAGTTTTGAATTTATTTACCAAAAAGGCAATTTGATATGAGAATGATTTCTTAAATGATTCTTTATTGTGTGATGGTATTGTAATCAAATTAAATCTTCTAATGTTTAGATTATGTACATCAGTCCGGTAACTAATTTTTAAGTGAAGATAAGGGGGGCTTTTATATTTTATAATCTTGTAAAAAAAGGGAGTAGAGTGCAAGGTACGCCTCTAAGCCATATTCAACCATCCCAGTTCAGGTAGTTTGTGGGATACTCTTTGTCTACCCCTGATGCCAAATATCAGTCTCAGACATGAATTCTGAGCTTTTTTAACCCGTTTTAGTTCCACAATATCAAGGAATGGGCCATACACCATATCATCAAAGTTGAAGTGGGACAACACTAAAGCTTCGTGGCTTTAGTATTTTCTGATAGGTAATGTCTATGGGGGTAAATTATTTTTAACATTGAATATGCTTTTCTTAGGCACAGAGTAATGTGCTCTCTAAACTTAAGTTTAGAGTCAACCACTAAGTCCAAATCCTTCACGGAATCCCTGAATGATATTATATTGCCCCCTAGTTTGAGCTTAATATTATTTTCTAATACGTTTCTGTAGGAATCACTAAAAAGCAATATAGCCCTCGATTTACTAGGGTTTATCTTTACTAAGTGATCTTCAGAGGTTTTGAGAAGGCTATTCAAGTCGGTATTCAGTCGCTTGGTTATAAGTTCTGACAGATCAGGTTTAAAAGACGCATTCATTTGAGTGTCGTCAGCATAAAGATGATATAATAACTTAGCGAATTCATGAAATTAAAAGTATATATTCTATACAATAGTGGACCCAAAATACTGCCCTAGGGCACCCCTGATGTAATTGTAACTGTATCTGATATGTTCCCGTCCAAAGTCCAGATAAAAACAAAACTTATTAATGATTAATAAACTTTGACGAAATTTAAAGTAAAATTGAGAAATCACTTGTTAAATCTACAATTATCTGTTGCCCAGCATTTACATCATACACCATATGGCTTGAATTTACTAGTTCTAAGTTGTTTACAATTATTCTGTTTATGTAGCCAAATGTGCTAAATAAATCTTTCTACTACTACTACTACCTTGCTCGCTAGTAGCATTTCCGTAACTCCCCGGCTGGCACAAATCACAGAACTCGCCCATCGTGTTTTGCTGGCACTCGTCACAAAGCCCAGGTCCAGCAGTGCACGTGGAGTGCCCGTTGCAACCGCAGTTCTTACTGCAATCATCGCCATACCATCCTAGGTCGCACCTGCACCGATATTCCGGCTCGCCTTGGCAAGCACCGTGGACGCAAACATTCGCGCATGTACGCACACACGTGTTGCGACCGTCCCCGATGTAACCTGAAACAATAGCAAAATATGAATTCTGGGTTTATTTATTTATAATTCCCGACAGGTTATGCCCAATTACAGGATACATGCCAACAACGAAAATAAATCAATAATTTAACAACAGCGGAACATAAAAATGAAAAACACAAATAGATGTATACAAGTGTGCCAGTATTTGAAATGTACCAATCTCGGTAATAACTCAATACAGAGTTCTCTCAATCACAAAAAATATCACAAACGGAACAAACAGCATTGAAACGGGTGGCTTTTTAAGAGGTATAGGATTTGATTTTAAAAAAAACACAAAAAATTAAATCTTTATTTGAGTCGATAGAACGGTCGATATAATTTAATGTTTAAAGATTATTTCATGTAAATGTTCGCCGCGGCTCCGCTTTAGATGGCCCATGCGCAATGTCGAATTTTGGCACACTCTCTCCAACATATCGGCCGGTATCTCACTAATAAATGCTTCAATATTGGCTTCCAGTGCGTCAATCGTTGCTGGTTTATCCCTGTAGACATTAGCCTTAACATGGCCCCACAAGAAATAGTCCAACGGCGTTAAATCACACGATCTAGGCGGCCAATTGATGGGCCCCAAACGTGGGATACACTGTTCACCGAACTCGCCTCTCAATAGGGCCATTGTTTCGTGTGCGGGGTGGCATGTGGCACCGTCTTGTTGAAACCACATGTCATTCACAGTTATGTTCCGGCCATTGTCGTCTTTGAAGAAGTACGGCCCGATGATGCCACCAACCCATAATCCACACCAAACAGTGATTTTTTCGGGATGCATTGGTACCTCTTGCAATGCTTCTGGCTGGTCTTCACTCCAGATGCGGCAATTTTGCTTGTTAACGTACCCATTCAACCAGAAATGAGCTTCGTCGCTGAACACAATTTTTCGATAAAAATGTGGATATTAAGGGGCAATCAATTTGATTGTTCAGTACTTCATCTAAAAATGCCGATAAATCACGCTTTAGTTGTAACGGCTCATCTTGATTGATTCTTAACAGTGCCGAATGATCAAAACCGCTTTCAGGGTAATGGCCGTGACACTTCAAATAATAATATTCAAGTGCCTACCTCTGTAGGCGCTCAATGCTCGCTCTGTAGTTTTGATAGGTAGGAGACCAGATGACAGATGCGTGCTCCAGCTTACTCCTAATAAAAGTGAAACACAGGAGCTTCAATGTTTGCGATATCAGCGAAGCTCGTTCAATTTCTGACGCAATAGTCTAATTTTTTAAATGCTGTATTGTAAAACGACACCCAGCTCCTTGAAAGTCGAGTTCCGCTCAAGCAGGTTACCATCAACGTTGATAATTATCGTAAACGATAGGATGTAGTTTCCTAGTCAATTACATTGAAATATTAATATAAAGTTAATAGATAGAGCAACATAAGTAGATAAAGTTCACCCAATGAGATTATTAATAACTACATAAATTTTCAAATCATCACTATACAGTATGTAGATGCATGCATGGTAAAGACATCGATTAAATCATTAATGAAGATGATGAACAACAAAGGTCTTAAATTGGACCCCTGAGGTACACCAGATGTTGCAGTACGAGGGATGTCTTTTAAGTTTTGCATATAGAAACATAGTAGGCAGCGCGGATCGAACGTCAGTACTGAATCTTAACCTCACTCTTTAGTAAACTTAAATTCAAAGTTTCACAACAATACGTGCAGTTTTCTCACTACAGTGAATTTTTAAGTGTCACTAAGTCATTAGAAAAATGGAACTCAACCGAAAACATTTTCGTGCCATAATTTATTACAACTTTCAGAGACAATTATCGCAACAATAATGCCTTGCTGAGTTACTGTCTGTTTTCGGCAACGAAGCGCCACGTCAGTCGACAATTTTCCGTTGGTATGGAGAATTCAAACGTGGACGGGAGAGTCTTAGCGACGATTCCAGGGTGGGTGCACCAAAAACGGCAGTCACCCAGAAAAACGTCGATGCTATGCGCAAACTCATCATTGAAGATAGGCATGTGACATATCGCGAGATTGAGGCGTGCTTAAAGATCTCAAAGACCTCAATTCAAAAAAATTTACACGAAGAATTAGGAGTAAGAAACTTAGTTTCTCGTTGGATACCCCACGTGTTGAATGAAGATCAGAAAGCAGCCAGGGTTAATTGGTGTCAAAAAATGTTTGACCGTTTCAATTCCGGAAACTCAAAAAATGTGTGCAGCATTGTTAGCGGTGATGAATCGTGGATCTACTGTTATGAACCAGAAAATAAACGACAGTCGGCTGTTTGGGTATTCCAATGTGAAGAAAAGCCAACAAAAGTCATCCGTTCTCGAAGCGTTTCGAAAAAGATGCTCTTAATGAGCAAAGAACTGTTACTGCGGATTGGTATACCACCATTTTTTTGCCAAAAGTCATCACCCAGCTTCGAAAAATCAACCCCGAAAGAAGAATCATCCTCCACCAAGACAACGCAAGCTCGCACACAGCCCAAAAAACAAGGCAGTATTTAACGGAAGAAAACGTGGAGTTATTGGACCATCCTCCATATAGTCCCGATCTAAGTCCTAACGATTTCTTTACTTTCCCGAAAATTAAAAACAGACTGCGTGGTCAAAGGTTCAAGTCACCAGAAGAAGCAGTCGACGCATTCAAAAATGCCGTTTTGGATCTGCCAGCAAACGAGTGGAATAAGTGCTTCGAAAATTGGTTAGAGCGCATGCAGATGTGAATTAATCTTCGTGGAGAATACTTCGAAAAACAATACAGTCATTTAAAACTACCTACCGTGTTGTTTTATTTCTATATAACTTAAAAGACATCCCTGTATAAAGGGATACTGGTAGTCTTACATTGACCCGCCAAGAACGGTGACTACTACTATAATTGCTTTTAGCTAAAAATCTATTTAGGTCAAATCAACTATTTAGAAAAACTGAGCTTAAGCAAGGCGGCCCACTACTTGTAATATCAGGTATCCTGCGATTGCTGCTGTTTGAGAAAGACCATTTTCCGTATTCTTCAATACCCAAAATCACGAATTATGCAAAATTGTTCATATTCTGTACCGTTAATAATTGTGTACTTGCGGTTTGTGCCTTATATAATGTATTCCTGTTTATTAACAATACTAATAACTGGGCGATTCACGTCGCCACACAGGTAGTATTTCTGCTCAGTTGTGAGTACACACAGTACGATTGGTTACTAGAATATGCTTTCCAGGGAAAAGAGTTCGCGCCAACGTACTGGTTTGCCATTTTGGTAAGCAAATGTATCCAAAAGTGTGCACTAAAACTACGTAATTTTGGAAACACACGCTGCCATGTAAACATATAGTCTGTTCTCTAACCTATTCTAATTCGTTGGGAATAGCCAAGCCATATATTAAGGTCGTTTTAATTTAGACAACCGATAGTCCACCTAATGTCATTAGTCTCGCCTGTCCCATCAAAAGAAGTATTCTCTCAATTCAATTTTTTGATCTTGATGACTATCAAATTGTACAGACGAAATTAACAAACATAATATTTTTGACAATAAATAAGAACCTTTTATCTAGAGGCACACAAAATGATATCGGAGAACATTTCTATTGAACGACAGGTCATCGGGAATGACAAAACCTTAGAAATGAGATATGTTTGCTACAGCCAGCAGTTAATCTGTTATTGCTAGAAGCATAAACTGTCACTGGAGTAATTGCAAAAAGTTTGGTTGACTCTGGATGCATACATTGACATGAAACTATATTGAAAACAAGAGTTTTTTTATTCCATGGGGGGCACTGATTGTCGAACGATCACTGAAAGTTATGGTAATGAAACTTTATATTTAGCTATCACCAAAAATCTGCAAATTAAAAGTTATGATGTACTGAAAAAATTGTAAAAAATAGCTAAGATTAAAAAACTTACGAATTTCCAAAGTTGCCCAAATCTATAAGAAATCACCTCAAGATATTATCATAATTGAATTCAATAAGTCAGCACTTACCTTTCCTACAATGACAGCTGAAAGATCCATCCGTATTTGTACAGATTGCCTCCGGATGACAATCATGTAATCCCAATCCACACTCATCTACATCAGGGCACTGCGCATACGCCCATTTGGCCTTATGACTTTTCAAAACTACAGAACAGTTTGTCTGCGGTTTGTTAAAGTCTCCCTGAAGAAAAATTAACGTTATTAAAAACTGGTATATTCAATTATATATATATATATAACTAATTCCTATAACCATATTTCGAATAAATAAAGTATTCCTAATTGGCGGGGTACGAGTCAGATTTATAGCGCTCAAGGAAGGGGACCATGAGGACAATGGATTTCTCCTTGGAAACAATGACGCTTCTTAAGAAACGTTTAAAGGAAGATTAAAATTTTCATTTCACATTTGATGATAAAATTGGAACGATTTGGTTTATTTATGCATGTCTTTAACTTCAACCGTTTGTCCAAATTTCCACACCAACTGACGAATGGTGTTGACACTGGGGACACTATTTCGACCGAAATCTTGTGGTAGCTTCCAAATCGTTGCAACATTCCACTCATTATTTAAGTAAAACGTTTTAACAATACGGACGCGTTGTGGGATCGTGTAGCGCCCCATGATGAATTGGACACGTGCTTTAAACAACTACTACGGCGCCATCTACTGAAATGCGTGTATCAAAAATTACGCGCAATTTAAATCAGTCAGTTTTACATACTCCAAAAATAAGCGACCATTCGTGGATAAGTTTTGAGGTGGAAAATATGTTTAATGAGAGAGAATCAAGAGAAATCACAATTATTGACTTTGAAACGTTACGAGAGTCACTCTTACAAGCCAATATCACTGACATTTTTAATGATACTGACACTTCTCAAAAAATATGGATTGTATGGAGAACTGCATGAGAGACGCACAAATTAGGAAAGTGGTATATCAGAGGAAAAAGCCAACACTCTGGTTTTCACAAATATTTCTAGACTCTAAATTGACGCGTGATAATGACTATAAAAAGTTTATGATCACTCAAACTGAGGAGATTGGATACAATATAAGAAATCAAGAAACAAGTGTTTTCAAATCTTAGAAACGAAAAGAAAAAATATAATGAAAACAAAATCGATAAAAATAACAGTAAAATGATGTGGAAGACACTAAAAAATATTGAATCTACCAGTAGGAAGGATGAATTATCAAGAATGTGCTTCAAAGATGGTGTAGTAACACAAAAAATATTGATTGCAGAACGTATGAATGCTTATTTTATAGAAGGTATAAATGAGATAGTGGAATCAATCGAAGATGGGGATCCAAACCTATGTCACATGCAAATTACTTATAATTATTTTATGAGACAATTAGAAACAATAAATATCAGCCCTCTTTCAAAAGCTATTACAAGATTGAAATCGAATAGAAATCCTAGTGAACATCTTTCAAAAATGGTTATGAAGGAATGTTTCAACATTATTGAAGAGAAGTTATTATTGTTAGTGAATCACTGTTTAGTGTATGGCGAATTTCCTTCAAAATTAAAATGTTCTACAATTACTCCTTTTCCAAAAGTGCAACATTCTGAGTTGTATACAAGCATGCGACCAATTAATGTACTGTCAGATGTCGAGAAGCTCTCAGAAGGAATCATATATGAACAAGTCATTGAATATATTGAAGAAAATAAGATATTGACAAAATTTCAGAAAAAAGTATTCTACTGAAACAGCAATTCAAACGGCAGTAGAAGAATGGAGGCGAAATATGGATGAAAAAAGTTTACAGTAACATTGTTCTTAGATTTCAAGAGAGCATTTGAGACTATTGACAGGGAGAAATTGTTAACGAAATTGCATTGCTATGGATTTCAAGGTTCAGTACTCAACTTATTACAAAATTATTTAATCAATAGAAGTCGAAGAAATAAAATTGGCAATACATTATTAAACATCAAAAACACTTCGGTAGGTGTGCAACAGGGTAGCAAATTAGGTCCATTACTATTTATTTTATATATTAACGATATTCCTGATATTTTACAACACTGCATAATTCAAATATTTGCTGATGATACATTAATATATATAATCAAATAAAGACAAAAAACTGCAATAGAGCTTTTAAATAATGATATGAAAAACGTAATAAATTGATTAAATGTAAATAAACTTAAACTGAACACAAACAAAACAAAATATATGCTAATAGGAAAATCTTTAGATCAAAATTCGATAAATCTTACAATTAATCATGAAAAAATTGTGTCAATCGAATCATTTAAATATTTGGGCATATTCGTAGACAGTAAATTAAAATTTGAAGGGCACTATGAATATATTGTTTCAAAAATATCCAAGTAAATAAATTACTTTTAAAATTACAAATATTACAAAATAAAGTTATGAGAATCATCTTAAATAAAAATAAATATACTAAAATAAATTTTATGCTGAAAAAACTACAATGGTTAAATATCAAAAATTGCATAGCCTACTTGGTTTTCATTTTCATATTCTTGTTAAAAAATCATCTACCAAATCACTTAGAAAATTTTATTGTATTGAACAATGAGTGCCACAATTATTATACTAGAGGAAGTATAGACTTTCATTTACAAAACTGCAGTAGCAATATACGAGCAAGTCAGTATTTCAAAAGGAATTGTATGAATTCAATAAATTAAGTAATAATATCAAGATGTGTGTCAGTTTGAAAATGTTCAAAGGGAAATTGAAAAAATATCTCGTGGAAAACAGAATTCATAGTAGTGAAATTTTGTATAAAAATATGTAGTCTTGAACACATAATATATTTTGTGATATATTGTGTAATATGGATATTATGGATATTGCAGCATTAATGCTAAATAAATCTGAAACAAACAAAATATATTGGCCACATTCACATGACATTTGTTATGCTCCATATATGTCTTCCTATAAATTTCGTTCGATCACACGAGAACTTGAAATGTATCTAAATGTATTTGTGAATGCAGACTAAGCACAGAATAAATATAATTACCTGTACGCACATCCCGCTCATCGGATTGGTCGAATTGTAGCACCAGCCACAACTAAGAGCGCCGAGACACGTAGAGCAATTCGTATGCATTGAGCACGTTTTACATTGCTCCACTGTCTTCCCTGAAGGTGAGATTCCGTTTTCCTGGCGTGACACGAGAGGAAATGCTTGGTCAAGCCACTCGCGACACAACCCAAACTGGTATTCACTGGTATAAATGGAGAAGCTGAAGCACTGCTGGGTCGCTTGACACCACACGCATCGGCCTTTTTGAGCCAGACATGAGCCGCATTCATTCCTGAAAAATACATAAAAATATTTGTGATGGGAATAGTAATCCCCGGTAACCTGAACAGTAATCCATTAAAATGAAAGAGCTCTCACACAAAGAGCAACTTTGTAATGAGTTGTCAATGTAAATTTTATCTCCTGTGCTCTTCTTCATTTCTTTTTCAAAATCCCCTTATTCTTCCCTTTACAATGACTATTTCTTGCGCTCTTCCCGACTACAAAGTTACGACTAATAGGACATAATTAAAAATGCTTCAATTGATGTGCAAATAGAGTTTCGCATATGAAAACGATATATGCTACAACCTTCCTGGTTTCTACCTGCTTTTTATCAACAATGGAGAATATTCGCTGGAAAAATATAGGACATTTATTTCCAAAAAATGTTTTCCCTCGAGGAGTAAGCTTTATCGAGAGAAATTTCTTCCATATTATACAGGGTGTAAACGTTATGATAGTCATTATTTAAAT